AAAACAAGTCTTTCACTAAGAATTTCAGAGATGTTTAGATGTTGTACTTAGGGATGCAAACTCAACATTTAGGATTTGTGCTTTTCCCTTGTGACTTCCAAAAGATTTTCATGTGTACTATTAAAAAAAAAAAACACCCACTGAACAGAGGAAAACCTAACTGTAAAATTAACAAAAAAATCATTCTGTATCAACTAGATCTATTAGATGCTTCTATGGAAGAAAAAAGACCAGTATGAAAGCCATAATTTCTTCACAGGTCAAAATAAGTGGTTTCTATTTCACCTTATCAACACTTGCATACATGCTCTTTTTGCCATGTTTAGCTTTAAATCTTTTACATAAAACAGAAAAACAGCCTTTTTATGGAAGAAACTTCATTTAGATGTAGGATAAAAGAGCATATTACTATTGTACGCAGTAACTAAAAACACTGTTTCCTCCTACTTACATAAAAAATGAAAGAGATAAGTAGATCTAAGAAAGAGTCAGCACAGTGAAGCTACACAGCAATGCATGTGGTTAGGTAACGTGCAAGGCTTCGAATTCAGTGCTGCTGTTCTCAGTGTGACACAGATGAAACCTTAGTACTTGACCACACAAAAACATTTAAAAGCATTTAGAAAATCTTTTCTGTAGGGAATAAAAGAATCAGATTCCAATAAATTAGTAATTAATTTTCCTATTTTTTTAATCCTTAGTGATGTTTCTATTATATTCCACAATTCCAAAGCAGTTTTGCTTTTAATCATTGTGTCTCCTGCATGTCTTGATGGATGACAGTCAAGAGAATAAAACTTTTAAAAACAATATGCATGAAAGTCTGCTGCTTGGGTACAGGTTAGAGTACACCTAGTTAATACAAAGAAGTGCAATTTTCCCAATAAATGCCTCCACATGCATGACTTACTGCTTCAAATCTGAAAATTCAATCATGTATTAGTCTACACGGTATTTTATCTTTATTTCTAATACAGACTTTTTAACATTCAGAGAAAATGCAACAACTGTAAAAACCCCAAACCTTTAATGAATGGCCGCAATAGGAAGTTTATTCATGTTTCTAAAATGCTCAGTGAGAGCTGCACTAGAATAGCTTGTGTAGTATGAAGCACTCCTAATTCAATGTAAAAAAACAGGTGGTGACTTCTCTACTAAGGAAGCAGTCTAGTTTTGTACACTTTATTTGTCCAACTGGGGTATAAGCCTTCTTTCCCATGTTGCTATGACAATTTATACTAAAAAAAGCGCACTACTTAACACACAGAAAAGCCATGACCCAGACATCATCCGGTTAGGAAAGGCAGTGTGGGGACACCTAACCCACAAAGGCACATCACTCTGTGATGGGAAGAGGAAAGAATTTCTGAAATGTATAGGAGTAACCCTTGGGATTTTAGAACTGCAGCTTTGATCCTGGTATGAAAGAGATCCCAAGCAGGCTTTAATATGCAATGTGAACCACTGAAGTAGCTATCAGGGACCAAAAACCATTTTGGCATAAGGCTCAAATACAAGAGAAATAATCTGATGAACCAGATTTGAAATAATGGTTTGTGTTCTTCACTGTATAGTCATTTCTCATATAATTTTGGATAAATATGAAATCTGAAAAGCAGTAGACTGCTTCCATGCTAGTATTCCCAAGTCTGATGGCTTACTCATGTCACCACTTGTAAATGGCAACAGCACTTTCCTGTACCTCAAAGTAGTATTGCATAAGTAAATTCATGAATGCATACACTGAGACACAGACAAGAATAGAGAAACACCATTAGTAAGACAACAGTTGCTGGAGGTGGATGCTTTGAACCAGATCCAAGAACTGTTCAATTTTTACATGGAAAAGCACATTTCTCAAAACAGATTACTTCCCATGCGGTTCAGAGCCCAGCCGCAAGCTATGCCAAGACCACCAAGGGCAGGAAGGAATCTCTTATCCTGGCGTCAGCACCAAACTCTGTCTATGGCACAAGAACTATGTCAGAAGCTGCACAGTTCCATCCCTTACCTTATCCACCTTAAACGCTTTAAGCCAATGCAACTGCCAGCTGACCAGCAAAGGCTGGAATGTGGGAAAACTCAAGCGGAAACAAGATTTTACCTCTCCCTAAAGCTTTCCTTTAAATGAATAATGCCCCGATTTTTAAGGGGTTAGCAATACTAGCCATACAAGGGCAAGCTACTCTTCAATGGATATCACAGAATCATAGAATAGCTTGGGTTGGAAGGGACCTTCAAAGGCCACCTAGTCCAACCCCCTGCAGTGAGCAGGGACATCTTCAACTAGAGCAGGTTGCTCAGAGCCCCGACCAGCCTGACCTGGGATGTTGCCAGGGATGGGGCATCTACCACCTCTCTGGGCAACCTGGGCCAGGGTTTCACCACCCTCATTGGGAAAAACTTCTTCCTTAGATCTAGTCTGTAAGCAACATTAGTGCAGTGCTGAGAACCAGAGTAACCCTGTGAAAATTATTTTCACTGCAGTGTTTCTTTTTCAGCCCAATATTCCTCTTCAGCAACACAAGGTATTTAAAACGGCTCTGTGGTACTGCAGGATGGCTCATCTCTTCTCTGTTGCAGACATCAGGTGCAAGTGTAAATAAGGATTATACAAATGGGAGGTCATTAGAAGTCTGGTAATGCTAATTTGGCATGACACCCCTAATGGGTTATATCTTCACACTTCAGTTCTCTAATCACCTAAATTCTTTTAACAAATTTACATTTCATCTTATACATGGACATTCAAATTGACTTGTTTAACTCTCCCTCCACCCAAACTGTACCCATGCTCGGTTCGTCTTCTATATTTAATATCATCATCAACTACCTACACACATATAACAAAACCGCACATGTCTATATACTTATACATACCAAACTTTCCCTGTCTCTAAATATCTATTTAATTTTTCACAAACTTTTCAGATCTCAGGAGAACCACAAATACACGTATGCATCATCAGAAATAGCAGCTCAGCTTGAAATTTACCTTGTTGGTAGGACACTTCCATTTCCCTACGTGAAATGAAAGGGAATAAAGTGACTTTTAAATCAATAATTTAAATTACTTTGGAAATGGAAACATGACATGTTTTGCAACTTTAATATAGTTTTCCTGTTTAGTATAAAAAAAAATTAATCTGAGAGGCTGTTAAACCTTTTCTGGTTTGTTCAGGAAAAGTAATACACAGAAATAAACTTTAAATTATTCACACCTTCTACATAACACTGAGATTACATTTTACATGGAAGGTTTAATGTTCTAGTTAGAACATTCTATTTGGACAGACTTTCATTTTCTTAGCTCAGAGTCCTCATGAACTAAATGTGAACTAAAGAAATGTAGCAAAACCCCACCTGGATTATATTAAGATAAAGCTAAAGCCACTGCTATGATAACTGCACTTGCACATGGAACAAAGAACCATATTTAATTAGAGAGGTGGCTGCCTAACACAGCCAGCTCTTGATGATACCATGCTACTATGAAATCAATATATTCTTGTGTATTTTAATATCATAATTCATTTTTCTTTAAAAAAAAAAGCCAAAGGGATGCTTATTTTGGTTTTGCTTATTAAAACATGCAATACAGAATCCAGTAGAGCAAATAGAGCTCTCCATTTTCCTCATGCAGACCTGAAGTAATTACACAGAAGTCTGCTGATTTACGCAACTGTTATATAGCATAACAAATAGATTTTGCTAGTAATTGACCCATTGGTCCAAGCAAGCATTGAAGTACATGAAGTTAGAAGAAAGCACCTGCTTAAAAGATGGCCTGAATTCTTTTCAGGAATTCTGAGCTCTTTTCAGACTCTTCTAAGCTGGGAGTTTGCAGAATAACTTGAAATAGCAGCAAGAAAAGCTAAATACCTTCAGAAACATCCAAAATGATTAATCTCTTTTAAAATGCTATTTTTAACAAACACATCAGATAAAGAACACCCAAGTTTGGTTTTACACCACACCCTTTTGTTTCAGCAAAAAGAAACATTTGGCTTATACAGGTAATAGCTGCAGCCTGACTTTTACGACGCAAACTGCAGGTAAGTTAAAAACAAGCATGAACAGGACTGAAAAAGGCACAACACAGTATCAGTCTTACACAAATACTCATGGAGAAAAGTAGGAGCAAGAAACTTTTTACAGTGTCCATGGTTTTTAACTCCTAGGTGATGGCAGCTACCCTCTTCATCTCTACATGTACTGAAATCTTCTGAACCTTAAAATACACAATGCTACACAGAGGCAAAGGTGCAGACACTTAGTAAGCTAGATGTACAAAGGACAAGGAGTAATGCACTGAAATTTAATTATTTAAGATGAACTTTCCTCAGTAACTCCCCTCTCAATTTCACAAAAACAAATTATAAATAGAACTTCATTTAAAAAAAAAAATCTTTAGAATGCTTTAAAAGAACGCAAGAGTCTATTTTGTCATCTGGAATATGCTCAGTGGCTATAATTGTGCACTTGAAGGCTGAGCTCCATTTAACATCTTGTGATAGCAAGAACCAAAGAAAAAGCCTTCTTTCTGAGCTGTAAGTTGGCCACCTTATGGGAGGAAGCGGCTACGCATCCCCAACCCCTATTAATGCAGGTGACAGTACAGAACCTTATCCCATCTCACCAGACTGTTACCAGTATTTCTAATATTCAGGCTCATTTACAGCATTACTTTGCAATTCCTTCACTCCCAGGAAGTATGTGTTTAGCACACTTATAAGCACACACAGTGCTGCTTCTGGGTCTAAACTACAGTGGAACAGGATGGAATGAAATAAGCTTCTCATCTCAGTTGCTCTTGCTCCTACGAAGTATTTGTTTATCTAGAGCCAATCGCTGCTCCCGCATCTATGTAATGACTTCCTCATAGCAGTCAGAGATTACCCACACCGCTGACCACTTTATTACTTCAGAATGGATGTTTATTTACTTTAGTGCAGCAGTAACATGCAGGGATAAAGCCTGTCACAGCTGGGCAAACTCACCATATTCTTTACGCAGGTGGTCTGGAATGTGGGGCTCATAACCTTCCTTCTCAGGGACCTCCACAAATTCATCTTCGTCCTCCTCGTCGTCATCGTCATCAGAGGCTTTCATCTACAAAGACATTTTTTTTTTTTTTAAATGTGAAGACTGCTTTTCATTTCCCTTCACACTGAAAATATTTTGCAGACATCTTGATAGCCCTACTGAGACTGCTCTATGTCAGAAGTATTTCCCTAATTATGTATTTAATCTTTATCTAAGATTAGGCCTTTGCTTAACATTTTATCTCTAAAGCCATTCTCTAACCTAAGGGCTTCTTTAAAGCCCCTTTTATCCATTAGAACACAGGCAGTTGGTAAAGTCTGAGAAAGTGTGAAGCTATAAAATAAGGTCAAAAAAATCTTAAAATAACATCAAGATTTTGACTTAATGAGCAAATTATAAGACTTCTCTCATCTCCTTCAGTTGATTTTACTCATTTAGCTGCACCCAAATAGTCTGTGGCATGTTAAATAGTATCACAAACTGTTGAAGAGCTCAAAACCAGAGCATGCAAACAGGAGGGAAGCTCAGGGACTGGCAAGTTAATACTGACCAAAATAAGAATATTCAGATCTGTATACTACAGCATTTCACTGTGTTTCTTCACAACAGCACTAAAAATAATTAGATACAATTAATTTCTTAACTAATTCGGTACATCCTAACCATTCATACCATTAGACTGCACACATTACTATGGTAAAGACCAAAAAAATGGGATTTTTAAAATGTGCTCTTAGTCTATATTTCAGTCTGAAATTGAGTACCTATGACTAGCTGAAAAATAAAAATGGAGCTCCTACCAACTAACCAGGTTTATTATTAATTCATTCACATAAGTGGTTTCCTATATATTGTTTCAACTAGCTACTACTGTTTATGTGCCAGCAAGTCTCTACGTCTTTTTGCTAAGCTTGTTCCATACCTGAACATGAATTTTTCTTCTATACTACACATAAGCTAAAAGACTCTGTGCCACCTCAGGCACGGCCTGTACATCAAAACTTTGAAACAGCAAATGCCAACTATCCTAAAAAGGCAGCAATTATGGAGGTTTTATGCTTTGGTTTTTTTGCCCACCTTGGGAGTCACCTAATTCTTAACAACATAATTAGCCCATTATTGTATGTTCCCCATGCACTTTCAGAAGTCTAGGAAACGATAAGGGGTATCCACTAAAGCCAACCCTACCACAGGCTATCACTTTGTTCAACTTCATTGCAGCAAGCCAAGGCAATACATAAGGAATGGCATAATTTTAGCTATTTTCAGCCGTGTTCTTTACTTCTCTTACTGCACCTGACTTACATTGATATTCCTATCAACTACTCATTGTTACAAGTACCCGAGGATACTGCAGGTTTTGCCTGCAGCAGAATTTTCCCAATTTAATTCACTACTCTAATCTTGTGTCACAGCTGCACAGCTGAGTTCCTTTAAATCATCATATACTCTGAAGCCAAAAAAACCTAGAAAACAATCTTGGTTTATTGAATGTAGCTAAAAATTTAAAATAAATAATAACTAAATTTTAAAAATAAGCATTCCTTTTTTGTCAGTATTACTTGTAAGCTGGACTGAATTAGTTTCTAATAAAACATGAATTGATATTAATACACATATTGATACACTTTAACAGATAGGGATGGTGGAAGTTAGAAGCACAATTCTTCCCTTTGTTTAAAAAAATTACTTTAAGAAAGCTGCTGTTCCAGTGGGGAGAGAAAAAAAAAAAAAAAAAAAAAAAAAGGAAAAAACCACAGATTTACTGTCCTGAAGAATAAATTTACTACTGCATCCTTACCAGCAAACATCTAAGTAAGTCTTCATTTTAAAATAAAGTCCCAGTATAATCATGTTTGGAAGTACCCTGCTGCCAAGCATAGGTAACAATCACAACGTAGTCTCTTCAGCCCAATTATCACTACCTCGAGAGCTGCCAACCTTCAGCCGGCGGCAGAACCCTGCACCCTGGTTTACTTTTTGTTTCCCATTACAATCATTTTTGGTCACCTAAAAGAAAGCAGCAATTCAGGCCCTACCTGGCATGGCCAAGCCAGATGCATGCTGAACCTGACCTTGCCAGCAGAAACCAAAAGTTCTGATGCAAAGAAAGGGTCAAATATTCTACCACCGATCACAAACTCGCAAAGGCACTAGGCATGAAAGCAGCACATCTGCATTAAACTGCAACTTTTAAAAGACCTTCCCAATGTCCTTTAGAAAGAAAAACATCATCAGATTTTGTACTCTGCACAACAGAAGAGGGCTAGAGATTGAAATTTGTTTGTATTTTGGTTTCAAAATTCTGCTGGGGGTGTCATCGCTTTTCTTTCTGTTAGGGGCAATTTAATTAAGGTTGGAAACAATATCCACTTTTATTTCTCTATCTTGAAGCAGGGCAATATCGTACTTTCCATATTCAGTTTCCATGTCTCAGCTATTAAAAAGGATTTTACCAAGCTAAAACTTGCCATGGATGATCTTAGACTACAACTTTGTGCCATTATGTAAAAACTGACTAACTTCCACCTTACAAAACAGGGAAAGTGAATTTGGTGTATTTCCATATTTTTTATTCAGAAGTAGTCTGTAAACAAAAACAGCAACAGGTTTAAGGAACTGAGAAATAATGTCAAACTAGTAAGAGAAAGAAAACTCAGCTCAGACTGATCATTTAACTTAAATCACCAGATTATACCTAAAATATCAGTGAGCATAATACAAGTATTCAAGTATCGGCATACCTGAGAGGACTAGAAAGAATTCAGACGAGTACTATCTTTAATTGAAGTTTGTCCTAATTTGTTCACACAGCATTGGAGGCCCATGGCTCTCTGTACATTAATATACTAAAAGTCAGTGGGCTTCACTAATCCTCAACTTGAAAACTGCATTAGAAGCAACTTTGTTTTATTACCTGCATGGTCTAAAACTTTAAAGCACGTGAAAAGCCTGACAGAGAAAAGGGATAATCAGATGCAAATTCACTTTGTTTAGGTACAATCCATGAACTGTACATTCAAGTACTATAGAAAACATTAATCATAGGAAACTGTAATTTTTGTTATCAGTCTTAACACTAATCAAAAGGGAAACCTGTCACTACCGCTGACCTGTGAAACGTCCCAATTATACTCTTTGGAAATGACAGGAGCACTTAACTTCCTCACTGAGTAAATGACGACGATCAATCAAGTTTGAATAACAATGAGCCACGGAGCTGAAAATTATTTTTTGTATAGAATCTACCCAGGAATTTATGAAAGGTGAAAAGCAACCCAAGGTTTTAGGGGCATTATGGCTTTCAGCTAGTGCAGTGCATATCAAACACTAAACAGAATTTATGTGTTTTAATTTTCTAAAAGGTAGATGTGGACTTGGTGCTACAATGCATAACATATAATGCCAGATTTTAAATATGGGGGTCATTTTCATAAAATATTATGCTTATTGTTCACACCCTTGAATTTCCCTGGGGTCTTTATTAAATTTAGATTTCCTGTAAAAAAAATTAACTGCTTAGCTAACTATAAGGAATTAAGCCTTTTCCCCTCAAACAGACAAAGTCTTTATTTTGATATAATCTTTAACAAGATAAATAAGTTATCTTTTTACTTTAAAATATTAAAAGCCATCACTGGCGGGAATTCAAAAAGCTGCACAGTAGCAGTGGGTAGTTATATCTCAATTTACTTCATTCCAGTGGTACTTCATCAGAACCATCCTGTTTATGCTGTTTTGTTCCATTCCCTTTCTACAGAAAGGATGAGAGCTCATGCGTAATATCATTAGATAGGAAAGTATCTTTTTTTTTTTTAATTCCACTTTTCAAACATGAAGAAAGCTCCGAAGCAAGCTCTACAGATGCAGTATGAAAGTTCAGCCACCTACTATATGCTTTTCCACTATAGGTAAACTTTTTCAGGCAACTAAAAAAAAAAAATTCAACAATCCACAATTAAATCAGAATAAATAAATATTTAAGACAATATTCTGAGTGGCAGAATTAGTAAATTATAACCTTTTAGGAATGAATGGTTAGGTACTTCCAAACAGGAAAAATGAGACTATGATAAAAACAAGCAGTGTGCCATTTCTAGTGTGCCATACGTGAAGGGAAGTAAAGTATAAGCTCAAGTGATAAATACGACAACGTAAAGCTTTTCTTGTAGTGTACAGAATTAAATAGCTCTAAGATAAGTAGGCATGCAACTGCTTGTATCTCAATAACCTGTCAGAGAACGCGGGGAAAAAGGGTTCCGTTCTCAAATTCATTCTAATTATCAGGTAATACGAGGAAAATCACTACCGCAGTTTGCAGTCTTGTGAGAGACGAAGGGTGAACTACCTGCTCTCTGTCGCTAAAGGATGGTCCATCTGAAGGGAGACCAGATTCCCAGACATCAGAGGTTACTTGCACCATCATTGCTCCTCGAGTTGCATGGAGAAGGGAAGTTTTTCCATTCAGTGTTAATCTGCTCTATAATGCTGACATTTATTTATTCATTCATTTATCTAAGTGAAACATGTTTTTGCAAAACTATGAGGGTTGGTTTATTTTTTTGTGGGGATTTTTTTGGTTGTTTTTGTTTGTTTTTTTTTTAAAACATGGTGGTATACCGGACTAGATATCTCACTGTGAGAGAAAATAAGTTTTAGCTAGACAATTTCCAGATTCTTGGGCTGAACTTATTTGCATATGAGAATATAGTTTTAAAAAAAGACAGAAAATATACATGCATTATTTTCATTGTAATCAGAACACCACCTCCTCAATTCTCCTAATTTTCATTAAAAACTTAAAGTAGTGCTGACTTTTCCAGCTAGACAAATACAATCAAACCATTTGCTCCCTAACTCATTAAAAAAAAGGATATTTTCTTATCAGTCTCCACCTTCTCAAAAATACTGAAAACAAACAGTGGGTGCCAGTAGAAATGCAATCGCATCTTTTACTTTGGAGCCAACATGCCAAGAGCCTCCAGCTGTTAGTGTAGCTCAGTGCAACCACAGCTCCAGTTAAATGCCTTGCTCATCCATCCCAGCCAGTAATAAATGCAAAAAAA